GCGGTGGTACGCCAAGGGGACCCCCGCTCGGGCCGGGGCGAGCATTGCCGCCCCGTCCCCACCCTCGCATTCCCCTGCATGCACGAGGGACCAACGCCACCCAACCCAGCTAGGTCCCCACCCCACCCCAAGAAAACATCAGACAAAGTCTAAACTCACAGAGCAGGGGAGGTGGGAGGACACGCCCGCAGCCACCTCGTCGGCCTCACGCTTGGTCTGCGTGAACACGATGCTCTTCCCGCCCGCGCCGTAAACTGTGAGCACGTCGACCAGCACGCTGCGCCGCACCTCGGGCGCCACCTGGATGGCGTGGGCGGTGATGGACTCTGCCAGCTTCCCGCTGGCCCCCTGCCCGATCAGGTCAATGTTGACGGGGGCGCGGAGGTGGGAGGCCACCAGCTTCTTGATCCAGGCGGGGGTGGTGGCGGAGAAGAGCATGGTCTGGCGCTCGCGCGGCGCGTAGCCCAGGATGCGCTCCGTGTCCTCCGCGAACCCGATGGCCAGCATCTGGTCGGCCTCATCCAGGATGGCGAAGCGCACCTGGGTCAGGTCCAGGGCGCCCTGCTCCACCAGGTCGATGACGCGGCCGGGCGTGCCCACCACCACGTCCACGCCCGCCCGCAGCGCGCGGCGCTGCGCCTCCGCGGGCGCGCCGCCGTACAGGCAGGCTGTGGCCAGGCGCGGCGCCACCGACGCGAACTCGCGCTCCACCTGCGTCGCCAGCTCGCGCGTCGGGGCCAGCACTACGCACAGCGGCGCACGACCGCGCGCGCGCCCCTCCGCGCCGCCGCGCTCCGCCATGATCTTCTCCGCCACCGGCAGCGCAAAGGCCAGGGTCTTGCCAGACCCCGTGCGTGCGCGCGCGATCAGATCCTGCCCGGCCATGGCGGGCTCAAAAACACGCTTCTGGACGGGGAACATGGAGCGGATGCCGCGCGCCTCCAGCGCCTTCACCGTCACGTCAGACAGCCCGCAGTTGACCAGCTGCGCGCGGGAGCAGGGAGGGGGGGTTTAAGGTGTATGTGAGGGGAGGGGTGGGGGTCGGGGAGGAGGGGTGGTCAGGGCAGGAGGGGTCTATGAAAGGGGGTGGGGTGAGAGGAGGGCAATTCTGCGCAGGGTGCAATAGAGAGGCAGACTTGGGGAGGAGGGCGTGTGCGGCGGGACACGCAGGGTGCTGGAGGAGAGGGAAAAACACAAAGGTATGATGATGGAGTGCGACACGCCACCAAGCAGGGCACCCAGCCCATAGCATGGCAGGCCACCCAGCCCCAGCCGATGGGCAGACACGCACCAGGAGGGACTCGTCCACCACCGCTTCTTCCACGTCCTCCACATCCACACTGAACAGGCTGGAGAACGTCTGGCGGGTGGCATCACTGGAGGAGTCGTCGTCCTCCGCAGTCCCGACCGGCTCGGCCACGGCAGCCTTTTTTTGGAGGGGGGGGGGGTTGGAGGAGGGGCGCACCGTCGGAGGCGGGGGCGGGCGAGGGAATGGAGCACGGCGGACCACACCGCGGAGGTACCAGGCATGCAGAAGCGTGACCTTGTCATGCGGCGGACCAGCACCCGCCTACCTGCACCGCGGAGAGGTGCGTGGAGATGCGCGCGTTCTGGTCCTGGCCGAACAGCTGCGACTGGGCGCGCAGTGGGGTGGAGGGCAGGCCGCTGGACGCGAGCGAGGTTGGGCGGCGAGTGGTCACGGTTCGAAGGGAGCGACTGAGGGCGCCCAGGGTCCCCGAGGACACCAGCCGGCGAGAGCCGCGAGCGAGCACGCTCGCCATGCAGTCGTGTGGTAGAGCCGCCAGCACAATCAGTTTCCAGGGGGAGGTCTGCCACAGAAATCGAGAGTAACGATATTATTGAATGGAAGCAATGAGGGAGTTGCCGTGGAATTCGTGGTGGTGGGTCCATGCAGCAATTGCTCCCCATGCAAAGGCCCTGGTTTCCACTGATCCCATTCTGTGCCCAGCGCGCGGACAACTTCTTCCCTCACTGACTCTTTTCCCCTCGGAAGGAAGCAGTAAAACACCCCCACACGCTGATGTCTTCTTTTGACAAATTGAAGGGATCGGTTTGCTCAGCCATTGGACGATCGCGTGCAGACCTGCCCCGTTCTCCTCTTGGACTGCGCCGGGCACGTGCCATGACAGCGACGCAAGCAGCACCATACCCACGACTGGTGGCTTTTGATCTGGACGCCACACTCTGGTACGCCGCTGCTTCGGTTTGGAAGTCAACAATGTTGTCGATGCCGGGCCCTACCCCACCCCCCCTGCCGAACTTCCCCTCCATTCCAGGCTGCCAGAGATGTACATGCTATCGGGGCCACCATTCAGGGTTGACCCCGACGACCCTCAGTGTGTGCTGGATAGAGGAGGCGAGCAGGTGGAACTCATGGGCTCCTCGCGGGAGATCCTGGCAGAGCTGGCCACCCAGCCCCAGTGGCAGGACACGGAGGTCTGTGACATGGGGTGGGAGAGCAGGGACACAGTCGCCTCCCTCTGTGCTGGACTCAGAGGTGACCCCTCCATGGTGTGATTGTATGGTGCTCCACACATTCCAGCGCTAGAGCTACCCCGTGCACCTCTCCCTCCAGGTTGCGTATGTCTCCAGGACTGAGTACCCGCAGTGGGCCAATGCATGCCTCAAGGTGGGGGTGCTGCACATCGCCTGCTGGGGCCCTGCCTGCGTGATTACCTTGCATGTGCATCCACAGTATTTCCTCCTCCTGCACCCCTCTTCAGTTTCCAGACCCCCATCCATACCCACTGGTTCCATCTTTTGCTTGCTCTGCAGCTCTTCAAAGTCTGTGGGGCCCATACAATGCACAGTATGGCCTCAATCAGGGAGATCTACGTTGGGTCCAAGGTCACACACTTCAAGCGAATACAGGCTGCCACGGGGATTGCCTTCAAGGACATGCTCTTCTTTGACAACGAGTCCTGGAACATAAAGGTTGGGGAGGGGGGGGGTCTTGACAGATTTCTGCAGGAGGGTGGTGAGCTGAGGGATGGTGTAGCGCACAGGCTCCACCCGCAAATCACTTGGGCTGCATGTGCCAGGATCAGTTGCTGGCGTGGACCCCAGATATTCGCCTCAGGTGGCAGGCACCCCCCTACCCCTGCATGTATTGGTGTGCTAGCTGGGTTCGACAACATGCTAAACACCCCCCTCCCCCACCGGATTAATCAGTTGGTCCGTCTATGTATGATCTCTGAGATTACCATGCACTCTTGGCTGCCAAGGTGCCCTCTCCTGATGACGTGCTCCCCTCCGCTGCTCAGGAGGTTTCGAGACTTGGGGTGGTCTCAATATACACCCCCCATGGGATGACATCCGATAACTGGGAGTATGGTCTGGCAGAGTTTAGAAAGAAGGCCTCGCAACAATGAGAAGGAGCGGCTTAGAACACTGAGCATGTCTGGATCCCAAACCCAGTTATGTAAGCTGCAAGGCCATCTTGGTAGATCACTTTCACCGGTGCAATACAACAACAACTCGAACACGCATCTCTGGACGATATGAAAAGTATTGCTCTGGGAAATTGTTCGCTTGAGAGCCATAGGTGGCCTGAAAATGTATAGATCCTCAGAGACCCCCACGTGCACAATCCATCGCGATCTACTCAACATCCGGCCGGGCGAAGGTTGGGTGTATATCCCCGGAACACACCCTAGTAACGCAACGCCTCCGTACTCGGAACCTGGAACCCGAAAGAAGCCTGAGACCATGATGTCACGCATCGCAAGCACCAGGTGAGCGTCGTCGGCATGGGACGCTTCCTCTCCACCCCGCGAGTCTCATGGGCTCCTGTAGGGTCCCTTCACTCGTGCTCGGGCATGTTGGGACCCCATCAAGGCTGTGCACCACAGTTCCTTTGAGGCTCCACTCCCTAGAAGGCAAGCGTGTACCGTGTCAGCCCATTACCTCTCCGCATACGGCATCGCCCGCTCATGCAGGCACGTGGGCACCTGCGAGCTCTCTCGGGTCCCTGGAGACACGGCATGCAGGAGGGGAAGCAGACTGGTTTGCCACGCTAGCTTGCAGAGCAGGAGGGGCATGATGGGAGCTGCGATTCTGCTGTCGGGCTCCATGATTCTGAGCCCCCTGGCCCGGGCGGACCTGGTGAGCAGCCGAGGGCATGCTGGATGGGTTTGTGAGGAGGGAGGATGCTTGTGGTCTTGGGAGCTGTTGGCCTGGGGTGCTGGACAGGTCATGTTGGATGTCGCAGCACCTTTCCTGTGGTGGTAAGGCCTAGAAGTCTTGCACATATCCGTCCATGCCTCCCTCCCC